CATCAAGGGACTCTGTAAACACAAACATCAAGGGACTCTGTAACACAAACATCAAGGGACTCTGTAAACACAAACATCAAGGGACTCTGTAAACACAAACATCAAGGGACTCCTAATATAGTTTAGATTAGGTCAAGTTAGGTTACGTTAGGTTAGGAAAGCTTGATCTTCAGGTAAAATAAACTAGAGGCTAATGTACAGGTGATGAGGTGGATTTAGGCAGGTACTCGTGTGTTACCAAGTAGTGTGTGTGTGTGTGTGTGTGTGTGTGTGGCCAGGGCGCTCAAGAAAAAGTTACATTGTATCTAAACACCAATATTTTCATAAGAACAAAAGCTTCTAAAAACTATTTTTTCCCTCAAAACTTCCCGCCACAGAAAATCAACAACTCCACAACAGTTACACAAAAAGACAAAGAATTTTTATGAAACACGGGGGAGTGGGAGGGGGGGGTGCTGGTCCTCGTTCAATTCTATCGTAGTTTCCCTATTAACGATAAAAAAAGAAAACGAAAAAAATTCCCTCGGGCTGAGCCAAAGCGCACGAAAGGGGAGACTAAGAAAATCAAATTACGTGGCAGAGTAACAAGATGCTGGGGGGTAGGGAGGAGGGGTGAGGTGAGGTGAGGTGAGGTGAGGTGAAGGGAAGGGTGGAGGGGTAGGATGGGGTGAGAGGTATGGGGGGGGATAGGGGGTTTAGGCGTCATTTGCCATCACACCTGAGGCTTCTACTCACGCCCACGCCCACAGCCAGGCAGATATGAGTGATAGAGGGGCGTGATTTCTTCACCAATTCCTTAACTTTTATTGTTTATCTGATGGTTAAATTGGCGCCAAGATTATGTGAAGACTTTTCGTTAGCTCTCAATCTCTCTCTCTCTCTCTCTACAATGGATTAAGTCATCTCATTGTCATTTTGATTATATTTATGTATGTATATATGTATGTATGTATGTATGTATGTATGTATGTATGTATGTATGTATGTATGTGAGAGAGAGAGCCATAACACTATCTTAATGGTGTGTGAAAGGTCAGTGAGGGTGCCAGGTGCCAGCTATCTCGACGTTGTAAGTGCCATCACCTACACCTGTCACTTTCCCCTGTCACTCACACCTGTCGTCTTCACCTGTCACTTTCACCTGTCACCTTTACCTGTCACCTTCACCTGTCACCTTTACCTGTCACCTTGTAACTGTATCTTGTAACTGTACTTGTAACTGTACTTGTAGCTGCACTTGTAACTGTACTTGTAACTGTACTTGTAGCTGTACTTATAGCTGTACTTGTAACTGTACTTGTAACTGTATCTTGTAACTGTACTTGTAACTGTACTTGTAGCTGCACTTGTAACTGTACTTGTAACTGTACTTGTAGCTGTACTTATAGCTGTACTTGTAACTGTACTTGTAACTGTACTTGTAACTGTATCTTGTAACTGTACTTGTAACTGTACTTGTAGCTGCACTTGTAACTGTACTTGTAACTGTACGTGTAGCTGTACTTATAGCTGTACTTGTAACTGTACTTGTAACTGTACTTGTAACTGTACTTGTAACTGTACTTGTAACTGTACGTGTAACTGTACTTGTAGCTGTACTTGTAGAGTTAAATAGATGTTTATTCAGCAAAAGCGTCATACAATTTTACAAAAGTTTTCTGTATGTATATAGACAAATCAAGTATACAGTTTAGCATGTATGTTCCTATGTAGACAATGCAGGTATACAGCTCAGCGTGCATAAGACAACATAGGTATACAGTGTACATAGACCGTACAGATATACTATTTGAAGCGTATACCAATTCAGTGTGGGTATATAAACAATGTACTTAGACACTACAGATATACAAACAATGTACCGAGACACTACAAGCATACAAACAATGATAAACAGTAAGGCAATTCGACCAATGAGCCAATAACACCCCCCCCCCCCCCGAAGGTCAGCCCTCATCACCAACACAAAGCTCACCTCCTGGGCACAACACCTGGTCTTGGCAACTCTTTAATCGTCTTGGTATACTCAGTGGAAACTTTCCTCGGTGCTCAGTATAATTACACGTGGTTCTTTGTGTTCATGTGGAAGTTAACAACAAAACAATGAAGTGTCTCTTGCCAAGTGGGAGTCTTCTCCATTTTCTGTTTAGGTTCAATAATCTTTCTCGTTAATGCAATTGATACATATTTTAGAATGTGGAATTTCAATCTGTTTGGGTTATCGTGCACACTGTACGTAGATTTAGTACAATAAACAAATAATTTTCCACAGTAACACATTGGAGGAATTTAATATATCTTTCATTATATTTTTGTATTTAATTTTGTTTTGTGTCAGAGGACGTCTTATAATCTCTATTTTAAAGGAATAATTAGAAACAAATATATTACCTAGGTAGTTAGTTCCGTCATATCCACTTTCCACTTTACATAAAAGTAATATTTGCACTGGAAAAGGTTCTAGGGGAAATAACACGAGATTGTCATTAATATGTGTTTACCATCGTTTATAAATCTGCATTTTCTATATATACGCTGAGTGCCGATTTTACTTCATATATATATCTATCTATCAATCTCTCTGTTTATCTAACTATCTAATGCTCATATTTTACATCTGGGTTTGAATTTGTAACCCTCAAAGTTAAAGATTTATCAACACTCAAGACATCAATAAATAACGTAGTTGCCCAAGAAGACTCGAAGAAAATGGTTTCGAATATACGTCAAAGAAAATGGTCAAGTGACTGTGACTGAGTATGAATGGGTTATTGAAGTAAAAAACAGTAATGACACATATTCATACTTGAGCAAAAGTTCTTATTTTTACCAACTCTCTCAGTGGTCAGTAGGGATTACAGGTGAGATGCAGTAATACACTCAAGGACGCCTAGTCGCCATAGACACATGCAGTAGCACTTGTTTATACTGCAGTTGATACTCGAGGACCTAGTGACCTACCAGTAAAATAGATATTAAAGAATAGTGAACACAATGCGAAATAAACTATTTGTGTGTGAGAGAGAGAAAGGGATATATGGAGAAGAAATAGAGAAAAGGAGAAAGGGAGAAGAAAGAGAGAAAAGGGAGAAGGAAGAGAGAAATGGAAAAGAAAGGGAGGAAAAAATGCTGTGATACGTTAAACCCGATCAACTGAATATTATCCTCCCCATCCCAGTTTATTTCACCTTAAGATAAACCACCTTAACCTAACTCTACTGAGGTAATCTAAACCTAACTAAACTAACACCCCTCTCTTCCCCAGATAGCGTTAAGGTGTTTGATCATCAGCTGTTATACACTGGGTGTAAATCTTTAGGTGATTCCATTTCACACACACACACACGCACACAAACACACACACACACACATACACTCAGGCCCGGATTATCCATTAGGCACAGTAGGCACAGTGCCAAGGGCCTACTAGATATTGGGGGCCTACGAAAAATAAAACGAGAACTTTTCTTCCCCTTTTTCTACAGGTTATTATTAAATTGATACTGAGGTACTTTTTTCCATTTATTTATTACTTAATCCTATTAGTGTCCACCAGCTAGCTGTGCTTCTTGTAAACAAAACTATTTCTGTACTGTACAAGAACAGCTGATCTAACCCATTTTCTTTTACTCAATTCATGGCAAACATCACTGAATCTTATTATTTCGACATCACATTTTATAATTAGGTACTCGCTTGTGTTATTAGTGAATATGCTGTCAAATGGGGCCCCATATCTTGGAGGTGCCTAAGGCCTACGAAAGTCTTAACCCGGCACTGCATACACTATATATATATATATATATATATATATATATATATATATATATATATATATATATATATATATATATATATATATATATATATATATATATATATTAATTTCCTCTCAGCTCCGCCCGCCCGACTAGTGGTGACAAGCAGGGAAGAAGGTAAGTAAATATAATACTTTTACTTTTACTTTTATCCTCTTCACCACTGGTCGGCTCGTTAGCCGCTTGGGCGATCAATCACGTCTCTGATTACTTTTGCTTTTTTTTATGATTTATCTCTTAACAGAACACGATACACTTGACTTCTCTGAAACTGAACAATTCTCTGAAGTGTGCGTGTGGATAACTGCGTCTTCCAAGCACTGCTTGATGTTGGAAGAGGATGGCATAGTAAGGATAAAAGTCTTTTTCCTCTTAGTGTAACAATTTAAATTCTTTCTCTCGCAGTCTATTACTTTTCGACGAAACCATTAAATTCAGTGTATTAGCTCATGGTCTGTGTAATTCATCCAACAAACTCACATGACAGTTCAGAAGTTTATCATCTATATAAATGCAGAATAAACTTGTTTAGCGGCATTGGTAAACTCCAGACGTTTATGTACTTGCTAGAATTAATTTTAATACCTGAAATATTTGGTAAGATTTATTTTTTGTGTGTAAATTAAAGGAAACGTAATAATACACATGAATTTATTTGTCTTTACTTTTTTTTCAAACTTTTTTACCCTTTAACGTCATTAAATCAAGAGCTATTACTTGTTCCCATTACTTCACTCTCCAACCTTGTCCTCGAGATAAAATACCTCTCCCTCATACTCTTATCATCCCTGAAAAAAGTGTCATATTGTTGAAGAGATTGAAGGTAGGTTATCTTTAGAGGAGATCAGGAAGATGAGGGAGGAGCCGGCCATATATATATATATACACAATAGTTATCTGTCTCATAGTTTTTAATATATCATCATCTTCATCAGCTCATTATAAAAGAAATGTTTATGTTAATGACTGTCATAATGAGAGGCAATAAGGTGGGAGAGCTAGTGAGATACAGTATAGTCACGTCTCCATAGTGACTCATAAATCTTAATCTTCTTAGTAATGTTTGTTAAAGACTGTCATTATTCGTTGTATTTAAGGGGGGGAATTGAGATAAACTAATGTATGTGAGAGATAGAGATAGAGAGAGACAATAGTGACCCTCCATTGTGTCTCTCTCTACGGTGTAAACAACTATGACGTCACAGATGGCCCACCACCTGACGAAGGGGTCGACTCACTCCCTCATTTACCTCGTTTTATGGCTCATTATCTCACTTGTTTGATTCCTGAGAGAAGAAGAGGATGGGAGAACATGTGAGTGACCGTGTAGTATGAGAGAAGAGTTAAATAGCGAAGAGGAGAGTTAAATATAGTTGAGGGAGGGGAGGGAAAGGCTCTCACACTCAACATTGAGAGTTATTTTGGGTCTCAGTTGGTCCCTGAGAGTTGGCAGGGTGAGGCACTGCTGCTCTCTCTCCTTCTACCTCTACCACCACAATGGACGACAATATGGAAGACGAGATCATCTACGAGCTGTTCACTACCCACGCCCACATCACACTACGTTACCTTAGGGTCACCACAACGAGGTTGGTAGAGCTTATAGTACCTGGCCCGGGGGAGAGTTTCAAGACCAAGATGTTCCAGCCGGGTCCCTTCATGTTCCTCGTGTTCCTGGTGATCGTGGCCAGCGTCGTCCTCCAGAGCAGCAGTCATTTCGTGCGGCAGTGGATGGTCAAGGCCCACTACGTCCTCGGCCTGAACTCCGTCACCGAGACGACCTTCAAGACCATTGGCAGTTTGGATCTCGTGTCGAGTTCTCTGGGAAGTGATAATGTGTCGTGGGAATTGAAAGACGGGATCGTGGGGCTGTACGGCATGCAGGGGCGCCGGGGCAACATGGAGGATCGTTACAGCATAATTCAAGACGTTGACGTCGGAGAGAAGAGAATGTCCTTCTTCGGGGTGTTTGACGGTCACGGAGGTCAGGTAAGATGAGTGTCAACAAGTGCACGTAAAGTTGTCTATTACTGTTGTGTTTGACTGTTGAATTTGTACCATTCCAGAGTCGCGCTTCATTCTGCAAATATTCATAAAATGTTTGACAATATTGGTGCACCTGTACTAGTTATTCTAGGCACTGTTGTGTAGCAAAAAGTTCAGCGTTACTTTGAAAATGACCCACATTATCCACCCCGGGAGTCGTAAATTTATGCATTTTGTTTTTTCGTGCTTTCCTCCTGTCAGTCGTTCATCAGCCTCCACCTCGTTTGAACTGTTGTTGTTCAAGATCTTTATTTAACAACATGTTTTAAGTGCATAATCAATGTTACTTTTAATGAGGTAGTTTTTTCTCTAATTTTTTTTTAATATACAGTATAGTATTCTTTCCTAAATGTTTACAATATAACAATGTAAAAAATGAACCACCAGTTAAATCATTGTATATAAACTGTCAGACAGTGGCATAATGACATTAACCTTATTTAAATACAGTATATTAAGCAATAATCCTAACCTAATGATCTTATAATACTGTTTAGTTAGGTTAGGTTAGGTTTGGTTTGGTTTAGTGAGAACAAGAGAAAATGAAGTTCATGAATACAGCGGCCACAGCGTGAAAAGTTATGTGACTTATCATTTGTTATTCTTGATCAATGACAGTTTTTACGTGTTTAGCCACAGTGTATGGGGTCCACTCTCCGCTGAATGAAAATTGTCTTGCATTTCCCAAGTGAAATATTAAAATTGGCATCCCTGTAGCAAAGGGGTTAAAGACCTTTGTTGTTGAAGTACGGTAATAACATTCTAGCATCGAGGTTGAGGCGCTTGAAATAAATACACCAGCTACCGTACATCCCAGACTGCAGTAAACCTTCCAAGAGAATCTCCCAGTAGCCTCAGATAAATGCAGTACTGTTTATTTATTCAGTAAAATTGTCATCCAAGTTTACATTGATTCACTGTGTTTATAGACAATGCAGGTTTACAGTTCAGGAAGTGTATAAACAGTGCAGGTATTTTTACAATGTACATAGTCAGTATAGGTATGTATAAAGTGTACATAGACAGTGTAGATATGTATAAAGTGTACATAGACAGTGTAGATATGTAAACAGTGAACATAGACATTACTGGTATGTACACAATGCACTGAGACAATTCAGGTATACAGTGTAGCTAAACAGTGCAGTTAGAGAAACATTGGTGAACAGTAAGGGAATTTAACCAAGGATAGCCAACAAAGCCTCAGATACTTATTAGGGTCTTTTCCTTAGACTAGAACCCCACATCTGGTAAAATATTGTGGTTAAGTTAATGCATCATGTTGGGTGAGGTTGGTCCCACTTACCAGTCCATTATAATTCTGTACAACCAACCAACTCTTGCAACACATTTAGCACACTTATGTCATTCTAACGCATGGGACTCTGGCAAACTGTGTACCTTGAGATAAAAACCCAAAATGTGTCAAGAGGAAGCATCACCCAGCTAAAATATTCAGAGCAAGCAAGGAGGACGTCTTCTCTTTGTGGTCAGGAGTCTGGCACTGAGTTGGTTGATCATATCATCCAGTTTGTAGCCAATGTCAAAAGTGGATCTTGGAGAACATGTGTTTGTGTGTGTGTGTGTGTTTGGCAGCGATGGCTCAGCTTTCAACCTGATCGACAAGTAATGCCTCCAAGTGCTGTACAGGTACCTCTTTTCTGCACTAGTACTGTCAGGAATTATAGCTTGATCATATTTCTGGAACTTAGTAAAGGTTATATACGTCTGGGGTCTTGGGAACTGTTGGTGTTAAACTACAGGAGTTGTCTGATCCATTCCTTAAATTATTAGAAGAAAATTGATAAATCTATCATTCCCCTTCAGAGTGACTTAGGCTTTCCTTATTACACGAGTTATTCATATCTAATACACTTTCTTGACTAAGGTGACTCTCTATTGAGACGTCCGCGTCCTTCTCTCATCCACGTCACATATTTGATTGGTGTGTGTTATGATGTCACTCTGCTTACATATCAATAGATCATCTCACTCACTGACTCACACTGTCTTTATAATGGCTACCTGTCCCCTCCTTACCTGCCACTCTATTACTTTACTTAACCATCATCACCACACAAACATTTATTATAGTCAGAACATAACCACAAACTTTCATCCGTATTTTTTAAAGGCTTCTACTCTTTGTCTCTTCAATGATACAAATTAATTTTATCATTTCTACAGTTCTCTTTCTTATCATATCTTTACAGTAGTTTAGATATTTATTGTTTCATATTTATATGGAAAGATGGAACAAATATAACTTAAAGAGTATGGTACAGTATACTTCAAAGTTTAGACCTCTGGTATACTTTATATTTCTGCTCATTAGCCAGAAACTTATCATTTATACTCACCATACACAAATACTGTTCCTTGATAAATAATGTTAATGTAATTAATTTTCTTGGTGATGACAAGTTACTGTATCATTAACCAACATGTAAGAACAGAAAGATTCTTATAGCACTACCAAATAATTAAGGTTCACTTGTGTCCTCTCAAGTTGATTTCAGGTTGTAGGAAGAGATTATCTTTGGGATACCATTTTACCTTCTTGTCAAGTAACTAAAGCCTGCCACAGGTATTTTTACTATCTGCCAAGCAAACCCAAAGCTGTCATGGCTTCTGTCGCCATTTGTGCAGGTGTTCAGCTGTTGGCTTGGCAGGACACCATCAACAGGGTGTGTTACATATTTTCAATTGTGCGGCTGCTTGACCAAGGCTTGGCTACTGGTGCAAGGCCCGGCTACTCTCGGAGAATTCCCTCTTTGCTCTTCCGAGATTTCCCCTGGGACGGCGTCTCCTTCGACCCTGGTACAGTAGTGTGGTCTGGCCCTCAGCCAGTCTATGGTGCCAAGATAGCCTGCGTCAAGACCAAACTGCCAGTGTGGGTTGGCACTTTGCCTGTGTTTGTTTATTAATTAATGGTACAACTTGAGGCAGTTTTTCTGTTTTAATCTTTTATTGGTGTGTGTTTACTTCATTTACTATTAAAAACGAACAAGAAACAATGAAACTATGTAACTACAGTTATCAATTTTCCTTTGAAAGTTGTCAACTAAGTAAACTTTAGTAATAAATGTCCTGTGACTATAATCTTCAAGGAGGAAAGTTCACAAAGAGATTAATATGGCTTTATGTCAGACAAAACATAATCATTATTACTTGTCAACATTGTCACTATAAATAACATTACAGTAATGTGTTTTCTATATACCTAACCGGGTGGTAGAGTAAAAATACATCCCATCACACACCCACTTCCTCATTATGCTGCTCATGTTTACAGCAACTTCTTACACACATCCCCATGCTGGGTGAGAGCCAGATGTATACTGTGCATGTATTACAGACATAACAACTCTGTAACTTGTCTTCGTCTATCATGTGACTGTAATATAGATGTCTCATAATAAACTTGGAGTCCTTCTCATGAGACTGTACAAGTGGTATATGGTTGTATACATGGTAGAGTGGTTGAGACTCACCTAAGATTTGTTAGAAATGTAGAGAAAACGTTTGTTTGTGGAATTTGTTTACAGATACTGAACAGGAGGATAATGCCTAGGTAGGAAGAGGGGGTGTCTATTCAATACTGTATATAACTTAGTACAGTAGCTGTGCAGTACAGTGTTTAACAAGGTTGGGAAGGACAAGGATACACACTCATACTTGAATCAACTAATAGACTTGTACTACACTTAAACCTTAGTTAATATGATAGGTACTTCTTGTCAGTCACTGAATAACCAACTGTCACACGTAACATTACTCTGGCAGATCATACAAAATATCTTCACTAGTGTTGCACAAGGACAAACTCTCGCAGACTTTGAAGCCTTTGGGTCAAATGACAAGTCAGAGACCATAAATTCCTTGAACAACCTGAGAGATGTCGAGATGTGCCTTTCATTTGATGTTGCAACTCTGGTGGCAACAAAGCAATTAGTTGTGCAATCACAAGTCATAAATTTATGGATCAACTATTGCACAACCATGGTATTTGTTTTACATGGTTAGTGAATACTGTACTGGTAGCTAATGAAAATATCAGACATCAGGTGGAGGCAAAAGACAGTACACAGTGACCATTGCTTCAGTTCACAACAAACAGCATTAGTGACCTTGAGGTCCAGTAAGCATTGAGAAAATAGTTTATGACTCATCAAAGGGTAGCATTTACCTGAGGATGCCAGACATCACTGATTTCTTGATGTTGGCACTGGCACCCCACACCACATGGTAGAGTATCAGCAGTGTCCTTGACATCTACAGTGCCAACCTGTACTTTATTAAGAGCCATGCAACAAAGATAAAAAAATTCTTCTAAAGATTATCCAAAGCATCTTTTCACAAAATCATATAACAAATGCAGAAGGTTTTTAATCTGTAATAATAATTATCTTAAGCATTGATAAAACACACTGTGTCCCTCAAGAATGTTAGTGTGTGGTTCTGAATCATTATAACTGTTATCTACCATTACCATATAAAACACACCATTATATCTTGTACACTTGGCTTAATCAGGGACTGATTTGATGTACTTAAAATTGCTAGATGACAGGAAATGGATTCTTAGAGAGTTTCAGTATAACCATGATGCTCCACCTCCCTCACAAACATCTACGGTAAATCTCTGAGCCAACCACCTCGGCCCTCCTCTTGCTCTTAAGTTTCTGCAGAAGACTCGGGTGTTGATTGGGGCACAACTAGCTATATATATATGGGGATCCTGATTGTGTACATGATGTGGGGACCGTGTGATACATGACTGGGTAGACGAGTAGGGATGAATTATATACTGGGTACGTGTGCGAGGAAGAAGACGCCAGGGCACTTAACGGAGAGCTTCACTTTACCGGGAATGTTTTCATAGACTGATCCAAGATATTCTGGACTACACAGTGTCAGTTATAAGAAGTTTTACTGTATGTATTGTCACCCACATTTGCCCCCAGTGTACAAGATGTGTAGCTGCGTACTGGTAATAAATTTTAGAACCAGTTTTTAGGTTGGCAGTACAGTAGTTGATAACACATGGGCTGTGATAATCAGTAGCTTCCTTGTCTCTCAGCATTATTTTCAATTAATTAGGGAGAAGGTCATTCCCAAAACTGGATCTTCACTGATATTGAGAAGGAATGAGTGAGTGTCAGTTAGTGAGTGTCAGTTAGTGAGTGTCAGTTAGTGAGTGTCAGTTAGTCTGTTAGTGAGTGATTAAGAAGCAGACACTATTGGAGCAGTGATGTCACACAGCTGAGACCACTTGTTGGCTGTAATGGCAGTGTGGTGTGTACTGTACTGTACAGAGGTGAAGGACTCTCTCCCAACATATTTTATACTTTCATTTCCACAACCCATTATAATGATACATTGTACAGTAACAACTCACAACATAAGAAAATATAAGTGAAAATATATGAAGGTCACTTAAGAACTACTACAGTATATAAAAACAGTAAATACCAACACCAGACTGACAGCTGCACTTGGCCACATCATGCCCTCCTGAGATACTGTACCATGGTTTTTTGGGTGGGTCAATCTTCCACTGTCACTCTGAACTGTCTTACTGTACACATAACAGCCACATAATTTAGAAACTCTGAATACTCTATAATGAAGTTCTTTTTGTTGACTTTAGTTGGCTGATGGCAGAAGTGTAGGGCTCTGGATGCCTCCCATCTTTTCTCATAAGATTTTAATGTTCCTCTCCACGAACACGTCACTTACAAACTCGAGGATTTACCGTACTCACATAAAAAATGACTGGGAAGAATTTATTTGTTGGATTTATGATTCTTTCTTCATTTCATATAGAAAATATAACTTGTGGTGATGTCATTAATACTTACTGAATTATATATTATGTACTCCCACACAGTGAGCCTCCCACCCTCCTCCCTCCATTCCTTCCTTGCCGTCAATGTCTCTTAAATGACATTAACCGACCCGTGTGAAAGTACCTCATGGTGTGTACAGTACAGGGTGTGGCACCAACAAGAAAGACATATTAATAGATTGAAGCAAAAACTTTAGTTCTATTCCTCCTCCCCGGCAAGTCACGTGTCGGCCACAACACTTAATGTTTAGACTGGCGTGGCCTGGCAACACTCGGTCACCTGGTTGTGCCTGTGAGCTGCAAGGTGTGAGATGCCAAGAGACCCAGAGTTAAAGGTGAGAGTTGGTCTCCTTGAGCCAAGCGATGGGAACAATTATTATTTGCAGATACTGTACTGTACTGTATACTGTACTGTGCTGTACTGTACTTCTCGGAAAACATTTACTAAAATCATTAACAAGTTTTATTGAAATTTTACGCTCCAAGTACTGTATCTTTTAATGATGTAAAAAAATGTAAAGCATGTAAAATATTTTGTTGGCCCTTTGAACACTGAAGATAAGAGGATTGTCACACTGTATAGTTTATTAATAGTAAGAGAAGAGAGTTGAGTCAGTAAGTGGTATTATAGTGAAGGTGGACGTCCTCACACAATGTTTGGATCCTAAACAAAAACTCAGAATCTGTAATGTTGACGATTTTTTGTATACAGTGGTCCCTCGGTTAACGAGCACAATCCGTTCCAGCAGGTTGCTCGTTAACCGAAAAACTCGTTAACCGAAACCATTGTTTCAATGGGTTTTTGGGTAATTGGTTCCAGCTCACCGAAAATTGCCTAAATTCAACAAAAAGAGGTAGAAAAGTACACTTACTTTGAGGTGTGTATGTAGAAGGCTCCTGGATGATGATGATGATGGGAATTAGAATTGGGGTGGAGGAGAAGGGAGAAGAGAAGGCTTTGGGGTGGAAGAGAAGTCACCCCATGGCACCATTTCACCCATAAAATTTTAGTTCTCTTGGTGTAATTCAAGATTATTTTCTTTAAATCAACACTGCACTGCATTATATATTGTCAATATGTAAAATAAATTTCAAAATGACCAATAATTTGCTTGGAAACACAGAAAAAAGCGATTAGTTGAAGAGAGTCTCAAGCAAAATGTTACCTCCACTGAAAACAGAGAGAGACTAATGCCTGTCTGGTGTGTTAACAGGCTGGATGGCACGCCAGAAATTAGTTTCTTTACCTTCAATTATGTTCAATAATTGTTAAAATGACTAAAAAAGTTAATATTAAACTTTTAAAATTATTGAATAGTATAAACTTCTTGATATTTACTAAAATAGTAAGGAATTTAAGCCCTAAAACCAATTACTGTATTGGCGGACTAATACTACAGCTGGTGGACCGCCAAATGCAAGCGAAAACATGTTGAAGTCGGCTCGTAAAAAACTCGTTAATCGAGGGATTGCTCGTTAACCGAAGTTAAGAATCTTATGGAAGGTAAATCGTTAACCGAAATCTCGTTAACCGAGGCACTCGTTAACCGAGGGATCACTGTCCTGTACTGAATAATTATTTTCCCGCAGCTGGAAATGAAGGTTAAGATGACAGCTGAGAAGGAATGGTGTGGTGTTAAAGGGTTAAATATGACATAGTTAGGTTCCTATTGTTCTGTGTTATGGTATGATTGTGTAAAACTGTTCTGTATTTAGTAGAGAAGTAAAGTGCTACAATTAACCTGTATCTCCCTCACAGTACACTGCTGAATACGTCAAGGACAATCTCTTCCGTAACACAATAGAGAAAATCAAACAGCTTCGGAGTCAAATTTCACCTTCAAAACAAGAGGAAAAAGTTAAGAATGGTAATAATAATAATGTAACCCGGAACAATAGTAAGAACAGCGGCGGTGCCGGAAAAAAGACAGAAAAGCGTATTACATCAAATAACTCGGATAAAACAACAAACTGTGGAGTTAGTGTAGAGAAGCAAGGGTCAATGAGTGAGGAGAAGGTGGTGAACGACCCACAGAGTGTTAACAGTACCAAGGCCAATGGGTCTGAGCCTCAACAAGAGAAAGCAAGCAAGGAAAAAGATGTGCTGGAGAACGGTGTCGTGGAGTCCGGGACAACTGAAAATTCCAAATCTAATAAGGAAGATTCTTCCGAGGCTTCGCAGAAAGGCAGCGGCATCGAAAATATCCAAGATGATAACTCGTGCTCGGCATCTGAAGTGCCGATGAAAAAAGACGACACGTATAGCAACGTAAATATAAAACGCAACTCCATCTCCAACAACGGCGCCACAAACTCCGCCAAGGAGAAGAAGGAGGAGACCAAGACGAGCCACGAGCCAGGATACATCGACTCTTACAAGAACATTAACTATACTCGCCTCCTGACTGACCAGATCATTGCTGTTGACAAGCAGGTGGTGGATCAGTGCAAGAGCCGGACGGATATGTCTGGTGAGTGGGAAGGATTTATCTTACCTCCATTACTGTATTTACTTTGATAACCTCAACCCTCGTGGCATTATGCTACAATGTGTTAGTCAGATCAGTTTTGGATGCATCCCAGTGCTATGTGTCCCAGTCATAGTGAGACCCAGTGCTATCTGTCCCAGTCATAGTGAGAGCCAGTGCTATCTGTCCCAGTCATAGTGAGAGCCAGTGCTATGTGTCCCAGTCATAGTGAGACCCAGTGCTATGTGTCCCAGTCATAGTGAGACCCAGTGCTATCTGTCCCAGTCATAGTGAGAGCTGAGAGTGAGACCCAGTGTGTCCCAGTCATGAGAGCCAGTGCTATGTGTCCCAGTCATAGTGAGACCCAGTGCTATGTGTCCCAGTCATAGTGAGAGCCAGTGCTATGTGTCCCAGTCATAGTGAGACCCAGTGCTATGTGTCCCAGTCATAGTGAGAGCCAGTGCTATGTGTCCCAGTCATAGTGAGACCCAGTGCTATGTGTCCCAGTCATAGTGAGAGCCATTCTAGATAGCACATCATTTAGCTTGGAGCTGTCTTAAAAATTCATGAGAATCAGGTCATGGTCATAGGGTCAACTGGCCATCAAAGACATTAAGAGTCTCACTGATATATAAATTTTCCATTAAATTCAGGTTTTATGAGACCATGACAGACCTGAGGTTAATGTCACACCTGTATACTGTACTGTATACTGTACTGTACTGTATACTGTACTGTACTGTGTACTGTACTGTATACTGTACTGTACTGTATACTGTGTACTGTACTGTATACTGTGTACTGTACTGTATACTGTGTACTGTACTGTATACTGTGTACTGTACTGTATACTGTACTGTAGGATTTTTTATCAAGATCATTTACAGTGTTGTGGACAGTTCCCAAAGGGTCTCTCAGGAAAGCACATATTGTTAGGTTGAGTTTGTTTGTACTGTACTGTACTGAGTGGTGGATATCAGTCCAACTTGAGGGCATATAGTGGAGGAAAACCTCATAAGATACAGATATTAATTAGAGGCTACAGTATCTAACACACACATATAATATAGCTACAGTACTGTGTTTACATACAAACACTTACTGAGAAACTCTATAGATGTACTGTACTGAAGATGCCACATCACATAAGCCTATAAGGTCTTCACTCAGTGGCCGCCTCTAGGTAGGAGTGGCCACATCACATAAGCCTATAAGGTCTTCACTCAGTGGCCGCCTCTAGGTAGGAGTGGCCCTATAAGGTCTTCACTCAGTGGCCGCCTCTAGGTAGGAGTGGCCACATCACATAAGCCTATAAGGTCTTCACTCAGTGGCCGCCTCTGGGTAGGAGTACTTCACTCAGTGGCCGCCACATCACATAAGCCTATAAGGTCTTCACTCAGTGGCCGCCTCTAGGTAGGAGTGGCCACATCACATAAGCCTATAAGGTCTTCACTCAGTGGCCGCCTCTAGGTAGGAGTGGCCACATCACATAAGCCTATAAGGTCTTCACTCAGTGGCCGCCTCTAGGTAGGAGTGGCCACATCACATAAGCCTATAAGGTCTTCACTCAGTGGCCACCTCTAGGTAGGAGTGGCCACATCACATAGCCTATAAGGTCTTCACTCAGTGGCCGCCTCTAGGTAGGAGTGGCCACATTGTGTTAATTATCTGTGTTTGGTTTATACCCATTTGTCTACTCTGAAAATGTCGCATATTCCTGGAATGTCTACTGTCAGTTAATGATAACCAAACCTAACTTAATGGGAAGTAAACAAAACAAGAGTCAAGAGTAGACAGACTGGGATGTTATCAGTGTATGTGCAATACTTTATAACATTATATCAAGGAAGTGACACAATTAATTTTCATTTATATTAAAACATGTTATCCTGTACATAACCAGGGTTGATTGTACTGGTCATAGATCTGCATTAATATAAGGTGACTTGAGTGCTTCTTTTCACTTGATTTATTGTGTCGTTCTTCATCACATGTGAAGCACTCTCATGGTTAGCTGTTGTATATTGGATAACTCTATTAGAATATGTTTGCCATTCTTTCTCTACTTCTGGTCTTTGTTCACTCTCAGGAACAACAGCAGTGATCGCTGTGTTAGACGGTGAGCTGCTCATCATTGGTAACGTGGGAGACTCGCGGGCTGTGATGGGCGACCTTAAGGGATCAACTATTCCACTTTCATTTGATCATAAACCAAACCAGGTAAGGAATAGAGCCACAATATAGACAGTAGCCTCTCACTACAGCTAATAAAACTTCTTCACCTCTCCCCTGAACCTCGAGATTCAGACTCATGAATCTGAAGCATTTTATGGACAGAATAATGTATCAGTCTACTGCTTCAGGTTCTTGAATCTGAATCTCGAGGTTCAGGGGGAGAGGCGAACAGTAGTTGACTGTAGTACTGTAGTAAGGCAGAAAGTGAGGACCATTGTACAGGACCCAAGCTCCTGATGGAGGAGTTGAAGTCAAATTAGTTAATAGATCATCCCAGTGTAGTACTAAATGACTGTTAAACTAACCACCCTAGCCGGTGTCTTATGATGCTCTTCATAAACCCAAGTTCATTTAGGTTTAGTTGTTCATACAGTAACACTTTGTAGACGTCTTCATGAACTATACAACTGATCTTTTACAACCACAGATTGGGTTAGTAAGAGCAACTTAAAGCAGTTTTCTTATTGTTGAAAACATGAGAAGGTCTCAGTGTTGGTGCATGTCTTTCATGTCAAAAATTTTGCCCTTTTCTTACTCATATATCAGGTAATTTTTGGCAAAATTTCTTATTGTTTTAGTGTAGTTAAATGTTGTACCGAGAGAAAGTTTGGTGATACTTTCCTGAATTATGTGCCTGAAATCCAGTCATTAACTCTGCTTGGATGGTTGAGAACTTTAGGTCAAGCTCGGCTAATATAATTATGATCCAAACAATGAAAAAATATTTTCTCCCTGACATCATCTAGCAGACTGACATCTTCCTGTATACTACACTCACCTTCTACCACAAAATCCTCCATGTGTTTTTGTTTCCTCCTTTACAGAGATGCTACAGTACTGCATCTGGATGTCACTGGCATTGTTTGCACAAAAAGTCTTGTCATAAGAACACATTTCTTTTGGATTTCCATCAGTTCTCATGTTCTTTAAAGCTTTGCAAACTGCTTCTTTAAAATCATCAGCCAAGTCTAAGATTTTCTATTTTGGAGCAGCTTATGAAAGCCTTCTGTTGTCCTGAGGAGAAACTGGGAAATAAAAAATGACAGTGCAGTAAAGTATACTGTACTGAATATACTTTGGACAGTTTTAGTTATAGACCAAGAGCTGTTGCAGATTTAATATATGAAAGACACTGAATAACAGCTGGGAAGTTAGTGATCAGGGTGTATACAGAACGCACTTGTCAAGACCAACGGGTATCTGAAAGCTGTACTCATTCAATTTCCTTTAATCCTAATTGAACTTGAATATGTTTAAGTTATCTGTGATTTATGTGTGATTCACGAAAGAATCTGTACACATATTCTGGTGTGTCTAGGGCACATGCCCCCTGGGGCCCCCTTATTCTGCCTCTGATCCACAGTGGCCCCAGAAATATGTTGTTGTAGGCTGTTAAGAGGTTGGCCATGATGGGGCACACTCGTGTTACAGGTTATTTATACCTCATGTTATTTACAGCTTAAAGAACGTCGGAGAATTAAGGAGGCTGGAGGGTTCATCACATTCACCGGTGTGTGGAGAGTGGCAGGAATACTGGCCACCTCACGGGCACTCGGGGACTTCCCTTTAAAGGAGCCCCGTAAATTGATCACTGCTGAGCCAGACGTTCTGACCTTCAGTCTGCGGGACCACAAGGTGGAGTATACCGTACTGTACTGTAGGGGTTGACAGTAACTGGTAATGAATTCCTTTATCCTCTCAGTTATGTATTGATAAGTAATGATGATATGAAGTGACTCAGTAAGAGATAGTAATTATAAGTACTGTACTGTCTCTCAATACTGCCACAGCAAACAAGAAGCCAATGTGACTTGAATGTGTGTGTGTGTGTGTGTGTGTGTGTGTGTGTGTGTGTGTGTGTGTGTCATGTATGTGTTTGTGTGAGTCTTGTTTCCTGCCACCCTGTAGTAAGCAAGGAATGAGTTGAGAGATTAAATTAATATGTCATTATCTGTTTTAGTGTTACTGTATATTTAGTTGGTTAGATATAATATGTTAGGAATGAATCAAGATTGTGGTCACAGCATATTATAATCAAACTACAATACAGGTACAGTACTGCACATATATTTTTTAAGGAACAAGTAAACTATGCACTGTAGCAGTAATAGTTTACCCAAGCACTATACACTTTATGTTAATATAATGGATGCCATTAAAACTTCTTCTTTTTTCCAGGCACACTTTGTTATTCTGGCCACAGACGGGCTCTGGGACGTACTATCGAACGAAGAAGCCGTAGCATTTGTCCGCGAACATATTCACGAACCTGACTTTGGGGCCAAGTCCCTCACACTTCATGCCTACTATCGTGGGTCTCAAGATAACATTACTGTAGCAATTCTTAATATAGACAAATTGTCTCTGTAAAAATGTATTTATTATATACAACACAAAAACTTGTGTTATCAGGGAAATTTCTAATGACTCCAGTGTGAGGGATGACCCATCTATATCAGTACAGTAGGTCTTATAAGTACACTTTTGTATCCTATGATAATTGGTCACATTACTCATTAATGAATGTACCTACATGTACTGTAAATTATTAAGCTTACTGAATCATAAACTACTACAGTACTACAAATTTCAGGAATATTTATTCAGAATACAGTACTGTACTATGAATAAGAATTCACTTTAATTTGCTTTTGGGTGATGCCTTACCATGACATATTCTGGTTATATCAAAGTCTCTTACTTGCTGTAAATTCAATGAAAATGTGTAAAAATTCAGATCCACTATTATCATAATCATGCACATTTAAACTTCACTGACATTGTACATAAATTATTTCATTTTACCATTATTGCTCCAGTGATAGTGTTGAAACACACACACACACACACACACACACACACACACACACACTAACTATATGGTAAACCAGTTGTTAGTACAGTAAATGTCTGTTATTATAGTGATGACTCAGTGGTGGGCAGAGCATTAGGAACTGTTCTTAATAATTGGTTACACTAGTCAAAAGGCATTTCATTTAGCTTCTCAGCTTGAGGACATAAGTGTTATAAACTTATTTGACACACAATGTAAATAATAAATACTGAATGTGTTTATATAAATGGGCTTTGGTAGTCTTAGTGTTTATCTTATGTGTGAAAGTTCATCTTTTGATTACTAGTAATACACTAACGTCTTTGTGTTCCAAACCGTTTTAGTAATATTCGATTCATTTCCCAAAAAATACATTTATAGAAGAAATTAGTAATGTTCCAGTGATTACCAGAGAATATCTTTGTGTGCTGTATTGTTTGAAAATTTGGTTACTAAACAACTATAAAATACTGAGCAAAATCTGTCCATGTAACCGTTGGTGGTAGGAGCTCCGTCCTCTAGGCTTGTGTTCAGAGCACCTGAGAGAAGCCGCAAGTTCTGAATAATTGTACCTGGTAAAGTGTTGTTAGCTTTCTTAGATATTTGGGCCCAAGTAAATGCCAAGATTCAGTTCATTTATTATGAATTTTTGGTGATGATCAGTACCAGATTTTGATCTCAGTCTCTCCCTAAACGTGCCCAAGTTGACGTTATCAGAAAATAGTGTATTGGCAGTTTTTTTTTCGTTTTTTTTTTTTTTTACATTAACTGACATTCAAATTACAATAGAGCAATATCTGTATGTATGGAACATATACAATTAGTAGTACAGTAATATATATTAGAAGCTTAAATTAGCCCTCCAATCATGAGGGCTTTTGTTCTATTAATACTGCTTCCCTTCTTACCCACAGTGGCTCATTGAATGTCCTCTCGATACAAATCATTTGAATATTACAGTACACTTTCTCAATTACTTGCACGGCCCTCCCATCCACCTTACATATTCTCAGATCCTGTTTTGAGGATATTTCCTTGGTTTATTTAGACCCTTTATGTACTGTTATTAAGACCCTTTATGTACTGTTATTAAGACCTTGGATATAATATTATTAAGACCCTTTATGCACTATTTTTTTATTATAAATTTTGGCATAAGTGATGTTCATTGTTTTGTGATATATATTTAATCGTCAAGTACTGAAGAGATACCAAAATCTGAGTGACAATGTTGTTTAACTAAATTATAAGTTTCTGTTTAGTTAGGGACGTCAACCCTGTGTACATTGATGGCAGGCTACACCTGTATTAGGTATATATCATCCTGCAGGTGACCAACAGTATCATCAAATTTAATCCATTTTATTCCACTGTGTCAAGGAGGAGTTTATTTATTTCTCTAAGATTGTATTATTATGTATTAATTTTTACCTGTGGTGTGTAGATGAAGGAGTTAGACCCTGTTATTGTGCGGCAAGAGTAATACCATTTGCTTGTACTGTACTAGTGATATGCAACATAGAATCACAACTCTTAAATGTGCAATAAATTTTCCAGTGATGAGCATACAAGTATGTGTAATGAGGTGATGGACCCACGTGTATGAGCCAACCACAGTGAGACTTTATTGATGTGGCACAGTCGTATTAAAGACGTCATCCTTGTTGTTGGTTAATCCTACCGACGGTGACTCTCCACACGATAAAAAGCTTATGTTGTAAAGGATTTTCAGAAACCTAATAATTATTAATGAAATGAGATTTAGGTCTTGCTATTAACAAATGTTGGGTTTCAAAGTATTGATGACATGTTTTTTGAGTTATGAAGAGTTGTGGTTAGACTGTTACCCAATACAATTAAGTTTTTAATAATATGGTTGTTACAGTATATTGTATAGCAAATAATGAGAATAATATGCTCAGGATTAATATCACCTATATATTATGGTCACATTAATGTTGAATAGATGACTGTGAGTACTGTATAAGTTTTACTTTGATGTATTCTGTTGTTGTGTACAAGTATATCCTGTTGTGTAGATCATTTGGCTGATGGTAAGTCATGCGAATTGATGTTGGCATCCAGAAAATGCTCCTTACCTGCCTCTCTCTGGTCAGTGTGGCAGTTGTGTTCAGTGAGCCATCGGTACAATAAAGAAGCACCACAGTAAATATTTGTAAAATGAATTATATAAATTATGGAAGCCTATAGTTAAAGAATTTGTATAAAATAGCAACATATGAAAGAAACCAACAGTATTAACTGTTTTTGGTGGATACTTTCCATAACCATCGAGACTTAGATGTGAGATCGGGTGTGAACCCAACCTGCTGGCCGTGTGAAAGCGCTGACCAAGGTAACCTGCCAACTGTCTTACTGAGAGAGGGCTCAAACAGGTGGTAAGTGCTGGAAACATTTACTTCTTGTATTTAATGTTATAGATTGTGACTTACATAGTTAGATTATCATCATCAGTCACTTTGTCTAAGTTGAATGCTCAACACTTGCTAATACTGTAACTTGGTTTTGTTAATGTCAGTGATGAGTATGGAAGCTAATTTCTCTCCAGTATTGTCCAGAAGGTTCACCAACATCCTGGTGACAAATAAGATACAGGTATGTGTTATATTTTTTTGACTACTGTAATATACATCTTAATTTTCTCAAAGTACAGTATTGAAAGTGTAGTTAAAAGCCATTTTGTTTATTGGGCACATCTGAAGTAAACAGTAAAGTATGATGTACTGCTTCCTGGAGTCAGTGATCACCTTTACTTTATGGAACAACAGAAATTGGTTGTCCTGTGTCATCAGCTACACTCTTGTGGTTGACAGTTCCACAACATGTTTGTTTTAAAGTGCTGTACTGTACTGTAGTACTTTACTTTACTTGTAAAAACTTTAAATAATAAATCTACTAATGTATTTGTTAACACGGTAAAGGGTGTTAGGTAAAACAATATTAAGTGCTGAAATTGAAAGTTAAAATCTCATGGAATTTGTTTAGTAGAGGAAATGGAGTCAGTTGTGCCTCTTTTAGCACAGCACAGACTATACTATAGGGAAAGTGTGTTAATGAGGTCATAATTTAATTTAGTTAGTTATGCCACTGTGATTAGCTGTGCCAATATGTGACTCTTCAACTTTAGTAGCAATATGTATGTTTTATGATAGAGGATACAAAGGAATATTGAAATTTATACTTATTATATTCAATTTTGATTAATTTTCTGTGATAATGTTTTGACATTTGTCAACAATATATTATGAGGATGGTTGGATGAATATCATGTGCTCTCCATTTGACAAAACATAAAAGGAGTTTCTTTTATCATTTACAAACAGTGTACACAGTAAACCCTTGATTTCCTTGTGTTGCTGGAGGACGCTGCAGTTAATGAAATCACAGAAGTCAACTGATAAGAAATATGGTCCCCAAGTATCATTCTTGCACCCTCTATATTTAACTATAATGAATCCTAACTACCCCGTTGTAGTAACAGTGTACAGCCACTATAGGAATATAAAACTGTACACAATAATACACGGAGGATGTTGGACAACTCGCCCAACCTTCAACACTCCTTCATTTTATCTGAGGTAGCTTTAGGAGGCATCTGAAAGGAACTTTGATGTTCAATAATTACTCTCTTATGTTTCTGCCGGGGGATGGTCTTTTTCTGTAATCTATATATTCTAATACTGTAGCAAGGTACGTCAATATTTCCCTGATTATCTGGTACAAAGAATTTTTCCATGGAAATTAATTTTCCATTTGTGAATTATGTTTTTTTACCATCACTGGAACAATGAAGCGGCAATGTGTACAGGAATTACTTACTGTAACAGTGAAAATTACTGCCTCCGAGTAAGTCAAACTCATGAAGTTGAAGACTACGGAAACTAAGGATTTACTGTCTCTTCAACACAAATATGTGTGTGTACAATAATCAAAATTAGATTTTAAATGTTACAGCTTTTGCTCCCATAGATCAATGCAACAGACTTTTTTCAGTAACATCTTAAACCTTCTGATTCAGGTACAGAACTGTACCAGTGTTTCACACGTGTAGCTCAGGTGTGTGACTTAGCCAGTTCCTTCTTTATCTCTGCTCATAAACTCATAATTCTACCTAAACAAAATGATTTTATCTGTCACATTACTTTTAATATTTTTATAAACTTGCCTTATCAATAGACAAAGGTCTGTTTTATAACAGAAAAGAAGAAGTGTGTGTGAGAGCAACAAGGGATGTAATGTACAGTAATTCATTCATTTCATCTTGATCATGGCTGCACTATTATTTTCTGTCTACTCTTTCATGTTCATATTGCAAATGTTCCTGATCTTGTTGACAAATACTTCAGCAAGAATCATTATAGCATTGCAGTAACAACATTCAAACATTTACAGTAAGTTGTACCAGTTGTCTCTCTCAAAAGAAGTTGTACCAGTTCTTTCTCTAAAAATGTTGTACCAATTGTCTCTGTGTTAAAAAAGTTGTACAATTTCTCTCTAAAAACTTTGTACCAGTTGTCTCTCTCTGTAATGTAAAAAAATCATCTCTTGGCTCTTTAACATGAAAAGACATTGACTGTAAAAAGGAAATTGTGTTTTTATTTATATGTCAAAATAAAAAAAGGAATAAGAGTGGGAGTTGTACTGTACGTGTAAATGGTGTATTGTACCTGATGGTCGTTCAACATCAAACAACTTGTTGGCTCACGCTGTCATTCCCATATTCTCTTGCACTTCACTCAGTTGCAAGTCATTGTAGCTTAATATGTACAATGACTTCATCTTTCATTGCATCATTCCTAGGTGTAGACATTTTGTTTGGGTTTTCAATGTTAGTTAATGTAGAAATGGTTTATATAGGGTATTTCATTTCTTATTTTTTTCATATGTTTTATGGAAATTAAAGTATATGTATCAATATTGTGTATTTTTTCTTTTTGTGGTAAACACCTGTGAGTCGTTAAGTAATTAAATGACATTATGTAGTTGTTCTGTCGTGTCAACTTTACCCAGTCATGATAGCTGTGTTGACAATCTACTCTATAGTTTCCTATCATAGTTGCAGTCTTATACCATCGCTTAATCTATGGTCATGGTAGCAGTACAGTAGTTACACTTCTAATTTATCCATAACAATGGTTGCACTATTACACAGTCAACTGCATCCAGTCACTAGTAGTATTACACCCAACTTCATTTTCAGTCATGGTAGAAGTATTACATTGTAAACTTAAGTCATTGTAGCAGTATTGCATCATCATCAACTGTATTAATTTACTCAAGGTCATTGTCAATTCAAGAGTAAATAATAAGAGGACTTGGTTCAGAATTGAGTCGAGCACAATGAGTTCACCCCTTGAGTATGATGTATTAGCCCTTGATTATAATGACCTGTTTATTCCCCTCAGTATGAGATTAGATTTGGGATTGTTATTAATCTCAAGAGGGAGTAAGACATTAATTTTGGGAGCCTAACAAAAACTTTCAAGCTCATCCCACTGTAAATCTCTGTTCTCCATAATGTCGTCACTTTGCCGACATATCCTGCAACAAGTGTGGTACAGTATGTATGTCCCAGGATGTATCTCACAACTGTTGCTATATATTTTCCACAGACCCAGTTTAATTTCCTGTTTTTCTGACTATATATGTGAGACCTTTTTGCAACTGCCCTGAGACAGATGTAGGCTCAGCCATTACAGCATTGGTTGTACCATGGCTGAGTCAAGACATACATCATTACTGTACACTATTTGATTCTAGAGACAAGAATGACCTTCCCATGCATAATTACAGTGATATTGGTGAAGATGCTGAATTTCCTCAAGATTTGACCAATGAGTCTCGGGAAGTTGAAGGGAGTTTGAGTGACAGAGATACACGTCCACCCATATGGGTACGAGGTGAGGAGAGCTCAAAAAGGTCAGTGGCGTACTCGAGATTTTGGTAGATAGTTTTGACGTGCTGCTCCAGGGTCTGGGGACAGAATCAGGTGGCTGAGGGTTCATGAAGCATCAGGGTTTCCACTTGGTCCTTCAGGATGGATCCCACATGTTTAAATCTGGTGAATTACCTGGACAGTCGTTGTTCCCAAAGAAATTCACATTATTGTCTCTAACAGCGGTTGGGTTTAAAGAGCCTTCATGCAAGGGGGCTTTGTCATGCAGATAAGTCCCCTTTACGACGTCTAGAACACTCGCAGGGTCCTTCACGAATGATGTGCTAGATGTTGATCTCTTGGTGAAAATACGCTCTGTCCCAGATTTGATCCATCACCCACATCATGTGGCCGGCAGTGCAAAAGACATAAATATCCACACAGGCAGGAGATCCGAGTAACTCCCAGTAAAGCTCTTTATTGGGAGTCTTTGACCATATCCTGTCACTTTGGGAATTTTATTTTCTGGTCACGTAAATAAAAAACTTGTCGGTGACACTGACCTTTTCTCGTCACTCCTCACCTCCTACCCTTGCAGACTCGAAGTCATCCACCAAGAACAAGGAGGCAACACCAACTATTGAGAGATTTCGTTTAGATGTAAAATTAAATTTTCTAATACTGTATATGGCACATTTAGTTTTTATGTACCTGTATTGGTTACATCTGTGCTGGGAAAGGGTCAACTATTGTTTGGCAGTCTGAATTAAAACGATAATTTTTGTTAAAAGATATACTGTACTGTATTGTGTTTTACATTATCATTCATGTTCAAGTACTGTAAGATATTTATTTGTATTATATGAAAAAAGAAATACAGTTTCTAAAAAAATCATCTTCAAGATAATTTATTCATAACTATTACACGACAGGAAATACCAACTACAGTATAAACTTGCCTTAAAAATAAAAGACTAACCTTATACAGTATTGTTGTTTTAAAATATCAGAGTAGTTCTTCTTTAATATCTATATCATTTTCTTCTTTAAGAGAGATACCATCCATCACCCACAACTCGGTGTCACTTCCAGTTTTAGTTTTCACGTCCAAACACTTGTAGCAGGGAAGACTACACCTACAAGCCTTCTTAACACCATAAACTTTCATGTGTTCCTTTAACACAGCCTTATAATGAAACATCCTTCCACATTCTGGACAAAGAAAAGGTTTTTCACATGTAAGACACTTTTTAGATTTCTTATCAGAATGTTCCATCATATGAAGCACAAGATAAACTTTCATATTAAACTTGACCCCACACACTTCACACGTCAAAGGTCCGTCAGACCCTTGTGTGTGTATCCTTGTGTGTGTTACCCTGTGTGAACTAGAAGTAAATCCTTTGCCACACTCTTTACACTTATGAGGTTTATATTCTTTGTGCAGTTTCATGTGATGAGAAAGATGCGATCTCCACTCAAATGATTCTTCACAATGATCACACTTAAAAGGTCTATCATTTGGGTGTGTCCACATGTGTCGAGTAAGATTCACCATTTTATAGAATTCATCTCCACATTTCGTGCATTTGTACAGGTTTTTAGTTTTTTGTGACTCCATCCTTACAAGAATAATTGCTGATGGAAAGACCACTCTAGTCAGCTCTACAAAGCTATGACAATCTGACTTATACTAAATATAACATAAAACATGGTAAGCACATATTGTAGGACGGCTACCCCTCACAGTCTGCACCAAACCTGGAAGAAAAAAGATTAGAAGTATAAACTGACCAATTCAACAAGTTACACACATTAGTATCTTAGCAAACAATACAATTCATTAAAATTAATTTGATAATAATTAGTAAAAGAGTAATGTTGCCACAAAGACTAATTTATGAACCTTTTTTGCAGACTTCTAAACTCACAATACTGTACTATACAGTTTACTATACCATTAAACATTCAACAGAAAAATAATGTTACCAGCACAGTGTTAACCTTAAAATACAAATACTTTTTGAAAAATATGACTTGGAGGAATAGAAGATGAGTAGGAAGTAAAATAAGGAGAGATCAATATTAATCACTTTAGTATGAGGATTTATTCCATCACTTTTGAGACCATAGTGTATAAAGATCACCCTCTTTTATACTGTACACGTTTTACTACTACAGTACTGTATGACAAATTTAATTTATGCGGTGGTTAAGGTTGACACGTAAACAAGTGCAATTGACATTTTTCATACTTGCCATGCATGATGCATCATGGGAAAATATCTTGCACACCCGAAACTTCTTGTTCTCCCTTCACACGTTCTCTCAGAATTATAAATTAACGTACTTTGTCTTAACCACATTACCAATAACAGAGAAATACCCAATACTGTACTGTATCAGAATCATAGGTCATGTCATTAGGGTTGCATAGTACAGCTCCTCCCCGACTTACGATGGGGTTAGGGACCCAAATCCAGGTCGTAAGTCGAAAATGCTTAAATAATACATAGAAAATCTAAAATGGGTGTCTCTTTTTCTTCTCAGCATCACAAAACACTCACTTATAACCTTGCCAGCAATTTTAAAGTGAATTACAAACGAAAATTTTGCCTGTGTACTGACTTTGGAACTCAAAAATATGTAATTTGACCAAATTTTGGTACGACTGAAGCAGGTCGTAAGTGCAGGTGGTCGTAAGTCGGGGAGGAGCTGTATATGATATTTTTGGAAGAGTCATTATGAAAAGTAATTACCAAAACATTATACTTCATGAGATCCTTAATTACTGTAGTGTGTCAAGGAGCACCGTATATACTTTACCTATGTTGAAATTTGTAGTAAAAAATTTAAGATTACAGCTGCAAATGTGTGAATTTTAAAGGAAAAATAATTTTTCTTTGGAATTATTGACTGAGGTGTGAAACAGGTGTAAACAACTACTCTACTAAGTAAGATTAGAAAGATAACCTTGGAAAGCCAAAATAATCCCCCCCCCCCCCGACCTCTCTCTTCATATTACTTCATTATAATAATCATATAATGTCTTAGTTCCTGTTCATCAAAGTCTTCCTCTAGTAATACTGAATAATTGTTTTTGGTTTCAATTTCATATTTTATCCCTGTCCCTGTTTTGAGCTTACCTAAATCCCATTTAATTTTGTCCATCGAGACTTATGAATCTTTAATGAATTAGAACATAATCTACCAGTACAATACAGTAATTGATTCCAAATACTAGTCGAGGTTAGGTTAGGTTAGGTAAGGTTAGGTTAGGTACATGCACTTGATCTATTAACTCAGATTAAATTAAGTTTACCAATTTTTTGTGACTTTGTGACACCAAATACTAGTCGAGAAGTGATTAGCAGTCTGATTTATTCATCTAGGACCATCATTTGACTTCATTGCGGCTACATTTGGGTAATTCCTCGCTCCGTCGGTACATGCACGCGATCTATTAACTCAGATTAAAGTAAGTTTACCAATTTTTTGTGACTTTCTGACACCAAATACTAGTCGAGCAGTGATTGGCAGTCTGATTTATTCATCTAGGACCATTATTTGACTTCATTCCGGCTACATTTGGCTACATTTGAGTAATTAGTCGGACCCGTCTTTTAATTTTCCTTCAAATATTTGCATACTTACCAGCCTCATATACTAATGTCCTCACATTCCATATACTGTACCTATTTTGATTTTGTGCTCATACATTTATATATAAATTAGGTTTGTGATTTGTGGCGGAAATGAATATCAAATTCGTTCGAAACTCATCAAATATCATCGGGAAAACATATTGTTAATATCCAAACAAAGACCGGTGCATTAGTAAAAATTGACCAAAGGTTCTATCTACTTTTGGTACAGTACTACAGTATATTACATAAAGGACAATACTCTACCTGTGGAGTTGTTATTGTTCCTTCAGGTGAGGCTCAGGTGTTGTTATTAAAGGGAGCTCTTAAAATACTTAATGTAATGATAAAAACATCTGTGGAAAACTGAACAAATCTTTTTGGTGGTAATGCTGGTCTCGGAAACTACACAAATAAGTCTGAATAAAACGAGTTGTATAGAATAGTTTCGGAATATTTAGTATACTCTCTCGGGTGTACTGTGGTGACTAACCGCTCGGTCAGTCTGGTGTTTGTTACTGTGGTCGGGTTCTTGCTGGCTGTTCTCCTCACTTTGTTTCCTGATTGTCCTCTCCTCTTCAAACATCACGGATATGGCGTCAAGGGGCTATAGGAAGGGCATGAAGCTCAAGTCACTGAGTCTTGAGGAGAAGAACAAAGTTTTGGACCGAGTGGATGCTGGGGAGTCTATGCGTTTGGTGTGTGAGGAGTTTGGGATTAAGTCCAGCACATTCTACGACATAAAAAAGAGTAGGGACAAGATTCGGAAATACTCTTTAAGTTTGGAGGATCCTGGCAGGTCAAAAAAGGTGCAGAAGAGGATCAAGCCTACAATGTTTGTCGACTTAGATCAAGCTGTATATAAGTGGTACAAGCATGAACGTGCGTCAGGCATTAATGTACGGGGAGTGGATATTCAGAACACTGCAGTGAGCCTTGCAAAACACCTCAAAATACGAGGGTTCCACGCAAGTGCAGGTTGGCTTTTTAATTTTAGAACCCGTCACTGCTTGGTGAATTGGAAAGATGTTGGTGAGGCTGCCAGCGCCACTGTGTCACCTGCCATACCTCTGAAGCTTACGTTGCTTGATTCTTCGCCTGCGGTGCTGGCAAGTGTTACCTTTTTAAATTAATAATTACATAGGTAAACGTTTATTTTCGATTGTCCCCGTATTTAGATATCCAACCTAACCCAGGAACTATAATCTAGCCTAACTTGGAAAGGGGGCGTAGCTCCCTAGACCCACTTTCTGGTGGGGATTAAAACCCTAAAATTCCCGGGATGACCGAAAGTAAAATAATACCATTACATGTACACGTATATGTTTTATTGGTGGGAGGTGCCTTGGTAATTCGTCAAGGCCAGAGCCCCATAGGTACTACTGCTTCAGAATTTTACATACAATACACAGGATACTAACGCCTACTCCCACCCCTCCACTTGACGTAACCAATAGAGACTTTGGCAATAAATAATTTGTGGCAACACTTTAAACGAACTAATGAAAGCTTCAGTAACTTTACCATCTTAGATCCTGTTAGATTGTAGGTTAGGTTTGGTGCATTCCTTTCGAGTGCTATCAGAATTATGTATTGTAGTTACGGACTCGACTTTAAAAGACATGAGACAAAGCAGTGCCTTATATGGACATTTAAACATCACGTTTTCGTTCTTCGTTAAGTCTTAGCTTTGAATTTAGTGCACGAGAACAAAATACCTTCTTAGTTATTTCACACAACCAGAGTACTCTAGTATAATGTGGGGTTCAATAAACGCTCACAATTTTAATATTTTACAAATATTCCATACTTGTTTTTGATACTGTTAGGGGTTAACTTAGAGTGCGGTTACCGGTAACTTAAGCTTCAATAAAACTTTTGCTCCCAGACATAACAATTTACCCTTTTAGCTAGTTTCAACCAAGTTTGTCTGAAGTACGTATACAGTAAACCCTCTCAATGACATTCTCAAAACTAGGAAATCGTAATAACATATGTATTTTTGTCCGGTATTGAATTCCTCCAATTAGCGGACCGAGCCAGTAAAACCCGTTTTAATGGGAGGGTTTGTCCGCTATCGACCACACGGCGCAGCTGGCCACTCACAGCGTGGCTGAGCATCCCAACCGTACGTGATTGGCGGACTGAAAGATGCTGTGCTGTGATTGGTGGATGGCTCCCAGTCAGTGTCTCACGTTAGTTTGTGTCTTATGCCGTTGTGTTCACGAGTATTTCCGTATGTTAAACATTGCTATTACTGCTTTTTATACGCGAGTGTGCTAAAATTAAGGGACCATGTCAAAAGTTACTCCACAAAAGGGCAAGAGAGTGCGTCTCTCAGTAGAAAAGAAGCTTGAAATTGTTGAAAAGCTTGAAAAGGGAACATCTGTGTCTTCCATTATGGCGGAGTATGCTATCAGCAGGACTCAGGTCTACGATATTCGTGCTACTAAGAAAAACCTCAGGGACTACAGCCTTAAAACCGAAACATGTGTAACAACCAAAGAAAAGAAGAGTGCCCTTTCAATAAAATCAATAAAAAAACCGAAGTTTTCCACAATTGACGAGGCTGTGTATGACTGGTACAGAGAGCAGCGTGCTGAGGGCGTACCAGTGAGGGGCATCGAGTTGCAAGCTGTAGCCATGCGCATCGCTTCCATATTGAACATTGAAGGGTTTCAGGCCAGTGGTGGGTGGCTTCAAAAGTTCTCAGCACGCCACAACATCAGCAATCAGCCGATTGGAGGCGAGAACAGTGCACAGTATGTTGAAGAGTCAGACCAGCTGCGTCTTGACAACAGCTTGCTGGAGGTTCAACTGTATACCGCCGATGATGAAACAGGTCTGAACAAGTGTCTTGGATCACATGGAGTTTTATACACACACACACACACACACACACACACACACACACATATATATATATATATATATATATATATATATATATATATATATATATATATATATATATATATATATATATATATTGTCTTATACCATTAATCGCCAATGAATCGATAAACGAACTAAATTACTTGATAAATAAATATCTAGGATTTCCATATATATTTTGTAAATACAGTAAGTAGTTGTTACGAAGCTAAATACTGTACAGAACATGTGTAATGAGTTTAGTACCGAACGCTATTGTGATTTGTTAGATGAGGGATCCGGCCTAAGCTCTTCTTTTGGTGGATTCCTACCAATCATTAAACCTCAAAAATTTGGGAAGTTATTAAGTAGTACTAGGGGGGGACATTCAGTAAGTGGTAACTCGGCGAGTGTCAGGCCGGATCATAGTTGCCATTTAGCAATTTTGTACTCAACAAAAAAAAATATACGAAAATATGGAGAAAAAATTCCAGGAGTTCTCTTAGGTCTCAGGGACAATGTGATGATATGTGCCAGTCTTTATACTGTATTGCGCATATATGTTTTCCTTGATAACTTGGGATGAAATCGTGAGATAATATCTACCGTTCTGGCAGCATTAGCGGCTGTGGGTAGAGTGAGAAGTTGAGAACGCAGTCATAGTACAGTAGTCAACACAGACCAGCTTCTATCTCGGCCAAACAAGATGGTACAAACGTCAGATCATGAAGGAGAAAACTTCAAAGGCGGGAGGAGCTTCTGCTGAGGGGTCCGACTAATTACCCAAATATAGCCGGAATGAAGTTAAATAATGGTCCTAGATGATTAAATCGGACTACCAATCACTTCTCGACTAGTATTTGGTGTCAGAGTCACAAAAAATTGGAAAACTTACTTTAATCTGAGTTAATAGATCGAGTGCATGTACCTAACCTTACTTAACCTAACCTAACCTCACCTTGACTAGTATTTGGTGTCACGAAGTCAAAAAAAATTGGTAAACTTAATTTAATCTGAGTTAATAGATCAAGTGCATTTACCTAACCTAACCTATTCTAATCTAACCGAACCTAATCTAACCTAACCTAACCTAACACAACACTCTTGCGGCTAGGTCTTCGCATATTTAGACACGAAATGCGACTAATTTCAGGTTTGTTTAAGTCTTAATTTTTGCACTTACAGAACTGTAATCAACTTATTCACCCTTACTTAAAGTATCTTATGAGTAATGATTTTAAGGTTTCAATCATATTTGAGTGAGTAATAATATTGTTACACAAAAGTCACCAACGGCTATTGAAATCGGGCAGCACCCACTTAAAAAGGCCAGAGCCAAAACAGGTTTCAACTAGGCGCGATCCTTTTAAATTCTTTCGCGCCATACTCTGTTTTAGGTCCTATCCTGTATACTACCGTATATAGAATTATTTTTATTATTATATCACTATTTTTCTTATTGCCTTACATGCCCCCAACTCTTCAATATTAATCAAAATATTCTCCACAAGCGGCCATGATCCTTGTATTTACCCACTGTTTTAGTGGGAGAAACTCGCTGATTGTTTGTTAGCTATTCGGGTGCTGCACATGCTAATGCCTGTTCAAGGTGTTTGCTTTTCCCTCTCAAGGTGTCATGCGCATAAGTCAGCAGAAGAGTCTGCGCAGACAGAATAGCTAATGCGTTAGCAATTCCGTGCATCTAAATGTGGATTGAGAGACAGAGTTGTCAACAGCACTATTAGCAACAGAACGAGTTTTAATAACTAGCCAAGTACAGTATATATGTAATGAAGAGCCTAAATTGATAAGTTAAATTAAAAAATGAAAATTAAGACTCACTAAGCAATGATTCACACCTACTGGTTTGTAGACTGACCTGTCCAGTATGGGTGAGTCCTCTTAGGTTGGGATCCTGTCCAGATCCCATTGACATGGATGCTCAGTAGTTCACATAACAGTGGACACAAACCTCTGACATTGACATGGGAGAGGATGAGCAGTTTTACATTTGCCTTTGCAGCTACTGTGAGCTGTTCACTAGATAGCTTACTGGAGGGTATCGGCTATAGGATGAGTATTGGTACATCTCTATTTTACAAATCCAACTTTCACATTAGGGTGGTTTTTTTATGATAATATTGTACACTGAGTTTTGCCACAATATTTTTATCAGTACTTATCCCTATGAAACTGAGAATAATCCAGGAAAAATCTATAGTACAATGCAGTGCTGAAAAAATGTGAAAGCATTGCTGAATATACGAAGTGGCCCATTGATGCCTTTTCACTGGAGCCGACAATTCTGGAATGAAAAAAAAAGTCATTGTTGTGCATTTATGGCACAAACAAAATTAATATACAGTAACCAGTTGTAAAAATAATAATATACCCTGTAGTTGCTTGGTGTAATGGATTGGTATTGTATAATATACTATTCCTGTAGCTTTCAGAACTGTGAGGTGCCTGGGTTAAGTTACAATAGCTTTATTGTATAGCAGAATAGATGGTTAATGGTGGGAGGTAGAATCATTTGGAGATCAGAGTATGAGACTGGTACCTGGTGGCATCTGGCAGCAGTGTTTAGTAGATAACGCTGTACATGTATTGAAGTGTTGATGGAAACAAGTGTACCAGCAGCGACACTGTAAGGTTTATAATTAGTGTTTTATTTGCATAAGTTGCCTTGATGTTTATTTGGGGCCGTGAGAGTAGTCACCTGGGGTAACTTTCAAGATGTTACCGGTACTTGGCCCTGAGGAGAAACAAGTAACATATGGCATTTTACCTCGAATCTTTAGCTTAATTTGAGCAATACAGTACTGTATTAATTTCAAAAGCTATGTGAAAATAATATTTTATTTATACAAATAAAAGTAGATAAAGAGAATAAAGGTACAGTGCTGGGCTGTTTAGTCCTTCAGACAATAATTATTTATAAACCAGCCTTTTCAATAGTGACTACCATCAGCTACTCATCAACACCACCACTGTATTTTCTGTAAGAATGAGAAACTAAACCGATACCATTGGCTACAGTGTAATGCATGTTTCTGTGTGATCTGCTAATGAGATCATTAGTGGAAGTTTATAAGGGTGAGACTCGCTTATCTGGCTAGACCCCAGCACTGACCTAGTGGCTCCTGCACCCCACTTATTCGCCATTCTTTGCAGCTGTAAGACCATCATAATGCTTAAGAGAATTCAGAAGAGTCTCTCTGGGATTCTCAATACAATGAAGGCATGACAAACAGTAACTGAGAAACATGCGCTTCAAGCCTTAGGGTGCGTCCTGTCAACGTCTCCACTAACCTCAAGTAACTAGAGCTCGCAGGATACAGTAGTTGATTTCCACTTGCCTGGAAGTTGGCAGTCACTCAACTTTTCTGTCTCCAGTGTGTTAGTGGAGCGGGCAGTTGTAATTAGCAGCTCAGACTGGTTGACTCATAATAGTCGGGTTTGAAATGTATCTTATTACATATTTTATGTTTACAGGTTCACATTAATGTCTAATAATCATTATGGCTGGATCAGATAAGTGGTCTGCAGATACAATTACAAGGTTTCTAGAGGAATATATGAAACATCCCTGCCTTTGGGACAGTAGTAATGAATATCACAAAAACCGAGATGCAAGAATCACTGCTGAACGAGAAATTTTAAAGGAACTTAACATGGAAAATGTGGATGTGAAGGTGTTTCGAAACAAAATTAAAAACATAAGGAACACGTACAGGCTGGAGGTGCAAAAAGTCAACACAAACAAAAAGAGTGAACACGGAAGAGAAGTCTTCTACACCACCAAACTGACGTGGTTTCCGCTGGCTGACCAATTTCTGAAGAAAACGCTGGAGTATAGAGACACACACCCAAGTTTAGTAAGTTTTTATTCTAACTGTAAACATAATACAAAAAAGTCCCAGCTTTTCACTAGTCGTCGTATAATGTGTGGCACCATCATGCACAGTAAATTTATTTTATTGCTTGTGATACGGTCCTGCACTTGGCAAGATTTTTACCCAACTTCAACCATATTTTTTTTTGTAAAATTGTCTAGGTGTCTTTGAAAAGACCTTTATTTTGGGGTAATGGAAGAATTACAAAACGTTATTGTGAACCATTTACTTTAGGATGTAAAATTAGATTTGTTAAGGTGATTTGAAGAGTGTGAAAAATTTAGCCAAATTGAGAAAGCATTAAGTTTGTTACATTGACAATGGAACATTTGAGTGACAATTTTAAAGAAAACAAAACACTGTAGAGTCAATATACTACTGGTAAATATTTATGGTACCCAAAATGGGAACGTGCCAATGATTATAAGCAGAGATGAACAGTGATGTATTGTACTGTATTTGACATTACAATACTCAAATATGCATACAATATTGTACTCTTACATGAAAATTTTGTAGAAATGTTATAATAATTAAATTAATTTTACTTCAAGTACAGTATTGTATATACAAGTATATTTAAATACTGCATATTAAAAAGTAATTCATATAATTACACCATTTGTATTGTTTAGATTTTTTTACTGTCAACCAAACAACATCCCCAGAAAAATTAATTAATTAAATCCGATATAAATCGTAATAAATGCGTCCAGTGAAAATGTTGTTCGTTTCTTGACATGTTAACATGTGGACGCTCCCACGTAGCAGACAATGTGACCCCAAAACATGGTCATCGCGAGAGATCCCACTATGCCGTAATTACAGTAAGTATTTTATTTCTTAGCCTACCGTAGATATGTATTTTTACCCCATTACCTGTATTTCCCTTTTCTTTCTTGCTCAGCAATTAACAAGTAATTTATGATCGAAGGATGGGCTAAGAAAAAAATAAATGCTACAATGTTGTTGCTTCAGTATTATTACTCGGTATCATCCGCATAACACCTGAAAATTTGGTGCAATTCCATAAAGTCCTTCTGGTGCTGACTGTCTCCTCCCCTGTAATACT